ATTATCCATATAAATTGTTCGGGTGAAGTGCAACCCAAATGGACCATGCCGGGTCGGGTCAAGTACATCTTAAATATAGTTATGGACTTAGACACCTTATCCAACAAATCCTACCCGTCTTTCCCCATGGAACGACCCTTTATGCTCATGACCACCTCAAAGATAGTCTGCCTCAAACTGGTGAATGCTACGTTCCCATCGCCGTCTTACAAAACTTCTGATCAACCATGGTTACCACCCATGGTCTTACCACACCCGAACCATCTCAACCCCAAATATCCTGAGTCGAACCCGCATCAGACTTAATTCCAATCAGGTGTTCGGGTCATGCTTCGAACCCCAAAGCCTTCATCAAACAAGAACAGACAGCTATGCTCTAACACAACCCTCAACCAGGATCCACCCACAAGCCTGCTATACATCACAAAGAAGACGTCGAATAGCTCTTGGAAATTTCCTGAACTCCCAACTTACAAAACTTCAATCCAGACAACCAATTGGGTCGTCTCTCTTCCTGAGTGGGATGTGAAACTTACCCTAGTTCCACGCCCGATCTAGCTCTCGAAATTCTAAATGATTCTCCTCCACTTGGATTCGTCGAAACTCTCCCATCCTACAAAATTTGATGGATCCCCAACCCATCTTATCTTCATATAACATGAACCGACTATGATATGCGCTTACCAATACTAGTGTTCCATTACTAACCGATCTCGATGATCGCCTAACTCTTGAAATCCAGATAGATATTCTGCGAGATACCAACAACCTGATAACCCCAATCGATGCCCATGATACAACACCAAAACCTGAAGTCCTTTATGCCAATGACACAAAACATTAAACATTAAATGAGATTGGTAAGATGACGATCATGCCCTTAATGAGTTAATTTTGATCTAATGCTCCACCTTTAGTTTTCAGGCTCTCGGGAAACTATGAAATTTCAACAAATCTCATCCATATGTGTATATATATATATATATATATATACACACACACACACACACATATATATATATATATATATATATATATATATATATATATATATATATATATATATATATGTCACACCCCCACATGCAATATAGTAATCCAAGTACAAACAACCATTGCATTAATAAGTATAAGTTTTACATAAGTGTTTAAACATTACATATTCAAACACCAAAGTAGGTACAGTAGAAGACAAGAGTCGCGGTACGGTACTAGGTAGTCTTCTCAAGAGCTTCGGGAGTGTACCTGTCTACTGGATTCCTGAGAATACAAGTTATTTGGAAAGAGTAGATCAGCATTTAAGCTGGTGAGTACATAAGTATTTTAGTTCTGTTAAGTATACCCTAAGTTCTTTGGATAAGTTCACTGGTTCCTCCAGAAAATCCTATATTTCCTGAGATGATTAACTGATAACCTCAATAGTTTCCCTCTATAATTACTTAGTTTATACTAATTATATATAACCTAATATCGAATGGACAGTCAAATGGGTGTATCTGCCCTAAGTCCACAACCAAACAAGGAATAGGAAGTAAGGCGGAAGTCACACATTTCACTGTCAATCGGATATTACTTATGTATAATTCTGATGTAAAAACTAAGGAATTATAGAATTAACCACTAAAGGTCTTTTATGTTATACTAGTTTACAGAGATTGAATGACTAAGTTCCATTTGATAAGTAGTTTAATTCCATAAACTGTTTCATTTGTAAAAGTGGTTTAATCCCATAAACCGTTTCATTTGTAAAAGTGGTTTAATCCCATAAACCGTTTCCTTTGTATAAGTGGTTTAATCCCATGAACCGTTTCTTTTGAAAGAGTGGTTTAATTCCATAAACCGTTTCATTTGTAAAAGTATTCTTAGTTATATATGTTCTATAGTAAAAACTTTAGTATTAATCCTGGAAAATATTATATTATCCATAATACTGCCTTGTGGTTTTAAATGTTCAAAACCAGAAGTACAAGTATATTACCATACTTGATTTCATGATACGTAGCTTTTACTGTAAGTAAAAACTATAGCAGGTATATTTGGTCGGGATGTAATTATCTTTTCTTACTTTTTAAGAGAAGTATATTACTTAGTAATTCACTCGTTATTTTATCCATGTGAGTTCTATTAACCATACTAATATGACTGATATGCCTGATGCGACGTTATTCAGGCGTCGGAAACGGTATGATATTTGACACCCTAGGCCTGCCGGCCAAACTGTAGCGAACAACAAAGGTGCGGGATTGTCAGTCCCATATAGATCTATACACAAATTCACGCTCTCCCTACAAGAGATTCTGGTTAATAAGTCAGGACTTGAGGTCGTACGTAGATAAGTACACCATGAAGAGTCTCACAAATTTATGGTTTCTACGAGATTTACGATGTATTATTACCCCGTGATTGCTAACCCTGGTACGTTGTATTTGTACCTTTGTTAATGCAAACCCGGTATGATGTATTATTACCCCGTGATTGCTAACCCTGGTACGTTGTATTTATACCTTTGTTAATGCAATCCCGGTATGATGTATTATTACATCGTGATCGCTAACCCTGGTACTCTGTATCGTACCTTTGTTAATGCAATCCCGGTATGATGTATTATTACTTCTTTAATATGTTGTTCGTATATTAAAGGCATTATACATATCCTGATATAGGTAAATGAATTGTTGGTACTTTCCTTGGAATGTGAATCATACTTGTATATTTAGTTTTGAATCATAAATTATACCTATTATAATTTATATGTACTATCTCATTATCATGATTTCTCATGGATGAACACCTTTGCTCAGCCTGATACAAAGGTAATGATACCAAAAGGAGTAACCTTTTATACTCATATATGTATAATATATATATATATATATATATATATATATATATATATATATAATTAAGAAGGAAACGACCTTCGGACAAATAACACAACCTTAATTCCACATCCAAACAAGGAAAAGGAAATAAGATAATTCATTAGTCCTAAGCCCTTCAAATCTTATTTATATATTTATACATATATAAACATGATTTTGGCATTTATAATTTGAAATAGTTTATAAAACATTTTTCAAAGAATTTAACAGAGTTTACATGACTTTAAAGATTTAACATGGCTTTAAGTCATTTTGGAAGTATTTGGTAATTCTTAAAAGCATACGGAAACTCTTTGTGTGATTATTATCACACACAGTTATTAACACAATTTAATATTGTGTCAAACTTGTATTCCCCCCCTAAAAAGCATTTAAAAACCATTAAAAAGGTAAATTATAGGGGTATGAACTCACTTTGATAAGCGGTGAATCGGGTAGCGTTTCGTTTCCCGGAAAGGAGTTTGTTTGACGAGAAACCGACTTAATTTGAGCAGAGTTTCGACTGGAGAGAGGTTAACTTCTCGAGAATTCCGGGGCTCCGGGGCTTGCTTCGGGTCTTAAACACGATACTGGGGCCTTGGGGGGTCGTGAGAAAGTTTACGGGGTGAAAAGGTGAAAGAGGGTGAAAAATGGAGTGAAAAACCTCTCAAATTCGAGAAGTCTCGCACCCTTTATATAGGGGTGCGAGGGTTCGGCCGAGGTAGGTGAGTCATCGGACAGCTGGCGAGGGCGAGGAGTCAGCAGGATACGCGGCGGCTTCGCATGCGAGGGGGAGGATGACTCAGCAGCCACGCGTCAGAAGGAGGAGCGAAGCTGGAGGCGGTCTCGGAAGCTTCCTCGGTGGTGTCGGATCAGGAGTGGACCGAGCTTCGGTCCAATCAGGAGATGCCACACGAGACTTCGGTCCAATCAGCAGCGAACACGTGTCCCATACATGGAAGCCTCGCATGCGAGGGTGACGTGGCCATGCGATTTTTCCCGGTTTTCCACATTTTCTTAACTTTTGTGCCAAAAACTTGCAAAATTCATAACTTTCGCATACAAGCTCCGTTTTTGGCGTTCTTTATATGCACGCGTAGCTAAAATTATACTCTACGACTTTCGTTTAGACTTCGTCGGCTAATTTTGACTTTATTTTTAATATTATTATTTTTAACAGATCGGGATAGGAAATCTGTTAAAAATTCATAACTTCTTCATCTGACGTCCGTTTTCGTCTGTCCTTTTACCGTTATACTACTTTTGACGAGACCTTCAATTCTCGTTTAAGTTGTGTCGGCTATATATCGATCAATTTATATTTCGAATTTTTAGCTGTCTACTGCTAAACCGAAACTTTGAAAAAACATAACTTCTTCATACGAAGTCATATTTTTACGTTCTTTTTATGAACGTTCTCGGTTTAACATATTCTACAACTTTCATTTAGATTGTTAATGCTAAAAAGCATTTTATCGAAAATTCACTTTTTACACTGAACAGTGTTTTGCCGGTTTTGTCGCGACTTTTCGATTGGTTATAACTTCTTCGTTATAACTCGGATTTCAGTGTTCTTTATATTTTTGGAAACCTTGTTATAAACTCTACCACTTGGTTCATTACAATTACGATTATTGATCAATTTATTTTTGACCAAAATTTGACTGGTGTCACAATATATATATAGAGAGAGAGAAAAAAAAGAGAGTGTGAGAAATATATATATATATATATATATATATATATATATTATATATATATATATATATATATATATATATATATATATATATAGAGAGAGAGAGAGAGAGATTTTGTCAGCATAAATAACTCCATTTAAAATGAAAAGTGTTTTTTTTTTCTACACAAACATTTTTCAAAAAAAAAAAAAAAAATTATTCTTATCTATTAGAGAATCATAGAAGCACTAATAACAGCTTATGAAAATATATATCCACATTACATATAAGTGTTATACGTCATATCTGTATAATTATATAAATATAGTAAAAGAGAAGCCCCTTGTGAACAATTCTTTGTTCTGATTTGTCGGAAATTTTCTTCCTTTTTTTGTTTGGTGGGTTTCCTTTTATTTTTTTTCCTTTTCCGTCTTCAAGATAGTGGTTTGCACGTGCTTTGATGGCCAGAGCCACCATATACATGTTGGTTTTTTCTCTCTTCTTTTTCTTTTGTCTGCGTTTTTCCACTGCTTCGTCTTCCAATAAGAAACCACCGCTGTGGCATCCACCGCCACACGATGCAGACGAACCCACCACCGATCTGAACCTCTTTGCTCGCCTTCCCTACTGCCCCTTTACATCCTCCTTCCTTCACCGCTTTTGTTTTGCTTCCCGCTTGCATCTCCTATTACCACACATATTACCCCCTTCCAGAGGCAGAAGTCGACGTTCATCGTCACCGACACCATGTCCATGTTTCTGGTCCGAAATGATGGTGCATGTCGACGATTGATGTGGTTGTCGGTGCTCGAACCTTTTCATAAGCTACATCAAAAGCTCTCTAACACCACTCTTCTTCCCTGCTCTACAACCTCTTCTCCACCATACAACGCCCCCATTGTATTGGTTTCAGTGTATATTTTCCCTCTACAGCCCGTCGTCTTTTTCAAGTATATGATGTGTATAATTTTTTTTATGTTTTGCTTTCCTGTCGTCTTCGTTCGTTATTTTCTGTGTTTTTTAAGGTTTGTTGTATTATGTTGTTCTAAGATTGAAATTTTTATTATGAGATTGTTATAATTTCCAGTTTTGTTTTCTTCAATCGAATACATATCTGATTCAGGATTCATTTTGGTTGATTTCATTTGGATCCTACGAATTGACAATAATAACTTTTTATTGGTCAAGGAGGTTATGTTTCTACTTTAATTGGAATACATGGAGCGAAATGCAGGATTAGTTGCCGGATCTCATAAGAGGAACGAGTTGATCATAATAAGGCTTGATTCCGATGGCGGGGTATGTGTTCTTTTGGTTTTTCTTGAATACCCTTTTGTTGTTCATCTAATTAACCTCCTCAACCGCGGTTACTTTGATCCTCCTTCTATCTACTCGATTGTTCCACTTTTTGCACCAAGTTGACTTATATTTAAACTTTTTGACTTTTCATTCAATATCCTGAAGATTGTTTTTAGTTTAGTCATCAACGAAGCAGAACATTATAACAACTGATTTGTAGGAATTTATGTTTAGCACTTCTGTTGAGTTTTAATCTGCAGCAGGAGGAGAGACATGAGTATATCTTGCGTTTCATGTTCATTTCAACATTGCTTTTGTTTTTACTTCTTTTGGTTTTTGTCACTTTTGATTCCTGAACAAGGTATTTATGTCTTTTCATTAGTGTGTGTGCGTAGATGGATAACCCATGGAAACTAGAGAAATAACTTTAAAGAGAATCAGGTAAGGGGTCTTTGATCAACTTGGGTTTCATATAAATTTCTAAATTGATTAATTTTGTATTTTAACGGTTTTTAGTAAAATTTCCAAGGCTTTGCTTTAAAGCTCGACATATTCATTTACTTTTTCACAGATTGTGTAGATAGATATTATTAATCGATATAGCTATACCTGCTGAAATTTAAATATCAACTCAATAATGAATTCTAAGATTTTGTATAAAACTTATAGAAGTGCTCCAATATTTACAAACCATCATAACTTTGTATGTAAGTTCAATATGTATGTATAAGTTTTTGTATAGATAATAAGAAAAGGAGTTGATCATCAATCTTTGATCCATTTTATGATTTTTGCACCTGTAATGGAATTTTGTAATCCTTTTGTGTTTACTTTTAGATGCTGGTGATACCATGTAGACTGTAAGCTTTGGCTTATCAGCAGAGTGCACCAAAAACATTACAGGTATTACCATACATTCATTAAATGAATAATTTTTTTGGAGTATATGGTGAACAAACTTGACATAGACGACACCAAATGACCAAAGATCCGGAGTTGTGTGGTCGAAGAGTACAGGACAACATTGGCCACCTTCGGGTATATTATTAATTATAAATTAAGATCTTTATTAAATCTACAAAAAAATCAAATCAACTAATTTTATTCTTTCTTATAGGCTCTTGGCTATACACCTTACATAGATTACACACAATACAACTAATACTCATTGCCACCAGAAAACAACCACCTTCCCCTCACCTCCTCAAGAAATTTGGTTACAGGAAGAAATATGTTTTTATTTTATTTTTGTTTTTGTTTTTTTTACTTGATTTCTCATGTTCTTCTTGATATCTTTTTTAAAAGTTTAAAGTATGTTTCCCACAATCTTGAATTCAAGATTTGACAAATACACGCCAGCCCTTATTTGTTCATTTTCTTTTATAGTTTACACGTAAAGGTTTAATTAAAGAAATTACACGCTTTATCGAAAACATATAAGAAGACTAGTTGTAAAACCCATGTATTACATGGGTTAATTAAAAAAAATTAAATATAAATGTATAAATATTTAAAAACTTTGGATTTATAAGAAAATAAGAAAAATAATGAATTATTAAAATTGATTTTTTTATCTTTTAAATTTAAATAAATAAACCAAAATAAAGTAATGAACTTTAATTTGGAAATTTTGAAATAAAAAGGAAAGTTCATTAATGAAATTGATATTCATTTATTACTACATTTATTGTAATTATTACATTAAAGTATTATGTGAAATTTTCTTAAATAGAAAAAATACATAAAATGACATATGGAAAAAAAATTAATTCAAAACAAGTACACAATGACATTTGGCAAATTGAATGAGAGTGTGACATGTGGCAAAAAAAACATTCATTTATTAGAGTAGATTAAAGGCTCATTTTTTGTGATATGAATATAGATCAAGGTAATTTACCAGTATAGGTTAGAAACTGTATAGGTCAGAAACTATAAGTACATTGATTGTGTGTAAGGGTTTGGAAGTAGGTTTCTATAATGGGTTACATATTTTGTCATTCTATATTTGGATAGATTTTTGAAGAAGATAGAAAACCCAAACCACATGCTGAGTCTACGGGTTGAATGCAATTCCCCCGTCAATTGATTGATACGCATCCAGTCAGCACATAACGATGAAAAAAGCGTTAATCCTGGATTCTCTTTCTAAAAGAAAGTCTGGAACGCAGTCTGAGATAACCGTAACAGTGTATATCATAGTTACTAGGATCGCTCCCCCCCCCCCCCCCCCCGCCTCTCCCCTACGTTTTCCGTTCCAGATCGGACGATCCAGAAACGGGACCAATTGTGATCCAATCGCCTCCTACATCGCGACCCAATCGCAAAATCCACCGACCCCGGATTGCTTGAAATGTGTATCCTGTTACAGGATGGAACACAATTTCAATTTACTAAATTTGTCGACCCATCAGGAACGACGACCCATCAATTTCTGGAACGCGATGACAAAATTACAGATTAAAAAAAACATCTAGGTGAAACGTTGGTTGCAGAAGTGGGGAACCCAAAAAAAAAAAAGAAAACGATCATTACGTTTGGGGAACCCAAAATCAATTAGCCAATTTTATCACCCTATTTCATATTCACGATCCTGCTCTACATCTTCAAACACTAAGTCCTCTATTCACGATCATGTTCTACATCTCAGTTTCTTTTTTGGAAAGATGCAATTTGGTGTTTAGTATACTTTTTATATTTATAGTATTATATATTTTAGTAATATATGATACATCTTACTACATTACATGGTACATTGTTCCTCGTACCGAAATAGTGTTCCGGAGAAGACTACCACCCCCCTCGTAACGAATTTTATATATTACCGATCCTCGGTCTCGATTTCGTTCCACGTACCGGAACGATCCCGTTTCCGTGTAACTATGGTGTATATAGCATCACTATGGGAATGAGACGGGAATAAACACACCATTTATAGACATCTTTGTAGTAGCATTTATGGTCAGTTTTGTTCTCTTCTCATTCATGACTACATCGATATGACATGATCTAATGTTTGATTTCGTTTATTTCGGTTTTGAGATTTACATATCTTTTTGTGTTTCAAGTATTTTGAAATCATGAAATATAAGATCAAGATATATTGTTTGCGACATTTTGAAGTATTTTGTTATTTCTTATGCAGATTGTGGTGGAACTTCTTTTTTCAATATCTGAGTTGGAACTTTTTATCTCAGATCTAAAACTTTTTATATTTGGTTTGCATGGTTCTATTGTTATCTACATGAATGGTTTTATGTTATTAAAATATAAAAATTGAATAAACTATTAAGTTAATTCTTATGAAAGTTGAAGTGGTTGTCTGGATGAAAGAATTTTTTATCAATTAAGTCATAAAATTAATAAGTTATAATATTAAATTAACTAGTTGTTGAATTAACCTTTTTAATATGTTATTGAAGCCTTAATATATAAACATTTTAGCGATATCAGATAAATAAATTATTAATTATCAATAATCAATAATTATGTAATATATAGAAGCAAATAAATTGTTGATAGATTAATGAAATTGAAAATTTTTAAAAGGTCGTTGTTGATTAAGCCGTTTGATTAAGCCGTACACTATGATCAGGATCCCCTTCATATCAGTAGAGCGTTGCATCGATCAAGTTAAAAAGCTGTTGGAGCGTGGTGACAGGTCAGATTTTATATCTCTATCAATAAACTATTTGTGATTCCATTCCTCATCCCATTCTTGTGTCTGACTTGGAATTGAAATACATCTCTATCAATAAACTATTTGTGATTCCATCCCTCATCCCATTTGTAACAACCCGAAACCTCTACCTTGTTCATCTAGTCAATTTAATCAATGTTAAACTCGTTTCTGTTAACTTCTAGCACGGTTTAAGGGTTCATTTAAGTGTTCTAAGCTTGGGTACAGTCAAGGTTGAGGTTAGGAATGAGTCAACAAGTCGTATAGTGACAAAACCGGGCCATACACCCCTTTTGGAGGAGTGTGCGGCCGCACACATGGGTGTACGGCCGTACACACCCCTCATGGCCACACACCCACCCCTATATAAAGGGTAGACCCCTTTCCTTTGATTCATTTCACTCCTTGGCCGCACACTACTTCTTCTCTCACAAGTTCTTTAACCGTGAACCCTCCAAAGCTTCAAGAACGTGAGTAATTTCTCCTCTAACTTGCAAACCATGAAAGACCACTCTATCTAAGCCTTGATGCTACAAGATTCGTCACGTTCTTCATGTCTTGAAGAGAGTACGGCCGTACACCTTCATAAGGTGGGCCGTACACTCCTTAAAGGCTCTCCAAAGTGAGAGTTTGGCCCCTATCTTTGAGTTGGACATGACCCTAGCCTTGTTGCACCTCAAAGTAGGCATTTTGGGCATAAACATAAAGGGTGTACGACCGCACACCACTGTGTACGGCCGCACACACCTTTGTGCGGCAGCACACTCCCTTGTGCGGCATCACACACCTTTGTACGACCATACACACGCACCTTA